CCAAAGAGAGGTACGTGAGAAAAACCAAGAAACTTAAGACATAAGCAAACGGAGAGACATATACTGAACTTGTCGTTGGAGTGCTAATTCAGGCACCCCAAACCGGAGTGTTAATCCCTTTTTCAGGTGGCAATCAGAGAATCAGGAACGTCTCAGGATCCAAGAGTATTTCAAACCACTTCTCCACACTTATAGTTCATGGTTCCACAGACAACTTGGAAAATTATATATTAATAAAGCAAATAACCATCATGTCACAGATTAATTCACTTAAACGACCATAAAAATATATTTGAAGAAAATAAATTGTATGTGTGGGTTGATTTAGAAGTAACAATATTTGGATCAAAGACTAAATAGTAGGGACTTATCATGACAAATACAACTCACATTATTCCTTGAGCAGCCCATATGTGGCTGTGTGCTACAGATTTAAATGTTCAAAATTGAGTATAGCAAACAGTGCTAGGTGTGTTATATGACACCACAAAACATAGGGATTTGCACAAATTTTATTTATTTATTTAGCACCAAGAAGAGCATTCTTTTATATTATATATATATATATATATATAATATAAAGTAACCAATTCAGGAAGCATCAACAGCCTTACAAACACTCAAGCAAAAACAAACAAAAGAACACCAAAGGTAACATATTAGACTAACTGAGACAAGATGCGAAGCTAGCAATAAATGGGCTAGATACTGTTGTCTTGTAGGCTCATCCATCATTAAGTGGAAAATGGATCTCTCCATGAGAAGTGGTACGGGAAAAGTGCTGCCAAACCAGACTAAGGAAAAAGCTGCTGTGACTCAAACTCCGGGCCGTTGAGATAGTTGGCAAAAATGAAGAGTTTGTGTGAGATAACACCCCACCTGGATATCTTTTACTGCTCTCCATCTATTGAAATAGAGATTCAAGAGTTGGAAAATAAAATATTAATGTTCAGAAAATTATGCTTACAAGCCCATTTAAGAGCAACAAGAGCTGCAGCCAATGGAGCACAAAGCCTGTGCACATCAAGCCTCTTGAATTTTGAATTTCAAATTCTTTTACATCTCGAAATTTTGGTGAATCACTACAACAAATCGCACCTTTGGCAACCATTTTTGGCAACCAAACAAATTTTGGTCGCCGAAAGTACATTTTTTGGCGACTAAAATTTATATTTGTCAGTATTGGTGCAAGATATCGCTACTAAAATATTTTAGTCGATAAATATTACTTATTGGCGACGAAATTTAAATTTAGTCGGTAAAAACTCAATTTTCAGCGACTAAAATTTTGATTGGTCGCTGTTAGTCCAAATTTTAGGCCCCAAAAAAATAAATTAATCAGTAATATTGGTTTTTCCTGACTAAAATTAAAATTAGTCGCCAAATAGTACTTTTGGCTACTAATATTTTCGTCGCTATTCAGTAACCTTTTGGCTACAAAAAAATTTAGTTGGCAGACCTATCCCTTTGCCGACAAATACAGAAATTAGTCGCTACAGGTTCAATTTTCAACCCACCAAACCTTTATTTCCGCGCGCGCCCCTCTCTCTGTTATACAACATCACACTTTGTAACACACACACACACACACACACCGTCCTTTACCAAAAATCACAAAAACCATCCCCCTCACCGTAGCCTACCGTACGGTTGACATTACGACGGCCACCGCCCCCCGCACAAATCACCACCGCCACAACTCACCACCGCCGCACATCACTGGTTCTCTCTCTCTCTCTGTCTCTGTCTCTCTGTGTCTCGCACTCTCGCGTTCGCTCACGGTCTGTCCATGCGTCTCTCTCTCTCTGTCACTTGAGCTCTCTCACACAGTCTCTCTTTATCTCTCTCTCCCTCCGTCTCTCTCTCTCTTCTTTACTCTGCTGGCTCTTCTGACATTGTTGGTTTAGGGTTTATTCAAATTTGAATGTATGTGCCTCTAATTTATTAAAAATTTGAAAGATGATGTTTAATATATGTGTGTGTGTATATATAATGCTTTGTACACGTATAGGCGTCTCTCTCTCTCTCTCTCTCTCTCTCTCTCTCTCTATCCGCCTTGCTCTGTTTCCCCTTTTCTCACATTATTACTTTAGGGTTTGTTCAAAATTTAGTGTTTGGGGCTGTAATTTATGATAAATTTCAAACATGATGTGTAATATATGCAGGTGAATGTGTGTGTGTATATAAAATGCTGTGTGGATATGTATAATAATGTTGCGTGTATATATAATGCTATGTGTGTATATGCAAATGTTTAATATATAATGTATGTGGCCCTAAATTAATGAGCAACATACACAAGTCCTTTGGTAAGAAATGATCCAATCATTTTGTTTACTTAAGTCCTAACAGATAATACAAAATAATTAGTTGAGCATAAACAACTCCAACTCAAAACCCAAAAAATTAACAAAACACCAAATTATTACTTCCACATTCTCTGGAATCCATTACTCATATAAACGGAAATGGACTCCGTTGGGTTACCAAGAAAATTAAGTGAAAATATGGAAAGAAACTAAAAATCCAGTATTACATGCCTATTATCTAATTACTTCCTACAAATATGGGTGAATTTCGTTTTAGATTCTGTTTGGCTACCAAGAAAACTAAGGGAAAAAATTGAAAAACACTAAACAAATCCAGCATTACATGCTACTTTCTGGTAATTTCCTACAGATATGGGTGAATTTTATTTTTATCCTTATATTTTCTAGAACCAACGAGACAAAATGATTATGAAGAATCTATCCTTTCTTTTGCTCAATTTTCTCAGCAACCAAACTGATTATATATAATGCTCTCTCTACATATGCAGGTGATTCAATCACTACACTTCTTGTCACTCAACAGCAGCTGGAGCATTCAACCTACACTATATAAGGTACTGAGTTTGTGTCCTGAAATTTTTTATGAAGTGGGTATTATTTTGTTTTAATAATATTTATTAAAACAGTGTGAAGAAGGATAAGGGAAGAAAAAAAAAAGAAAAGCCTTCGGAGGTGTATTTCTATGAGAAGTAGGACAGAGTGAAGGTGAGGAGGAAATAGCAGTGAGAGGGTGTAGGGGAGACGTTAGATGTCATCTCAGATTTACGCATGTTATACATATTGTTTTTTTAATAGAATCCACTAAGTTTTTGAGTCCCCTCTATTGCATTTGAATGCTTGAACTTTGCTTACTAGTTGCCATCCAGCTTTAGCCCAAAGTGGATATGAGGAAAACGTGCCCACTGTTAAACAACATACACAAATCTTTTCGTCTTTGGAAAGGTAATTCAAGTTATTTGGTTTAGTTACCAGTGAGTGACAGTTCAATATGTTTTGATACAATGTCTTCCTGCTCACATGCACTCTTTTTTCTCTGCTTCAGAATCGTTCTTAGCTGCTACTCATGAACTTCAGCGTATATATGGAAAGGATGAAGGGAAACAATTGTCGTAAAGTTGCCTTGTTCAAATATAAAGGTGGGAAAATCTTTTCCTTATTTTTGTGCAGATAATTATACATCTTTTTGGTAATTTTTTGTTATTAATCATAGCAATGTAAGTATTAGGAGGTCGAGCATCCTTATGGTTTAGAGATGAGTTTTTGTTGTGGAACTAGAAATCAACATTACAGGCACAGAAAGAACCTTATACTTTGGTCACTTAATGTAAGTTTCAACTGCATCATCTTAAACATTCTGAAGGAGAAATGAAAATCAAGATAGTTGTTATTGGCTAGTTAGTTTATGTGATACTTCGCCACATGTTTGGTCCTTGTGATTAATCTTTCATAAACCATATGCAATTTTGAAGCCTTTTTTAAGATAGTTTATGTACTTTGTCACGTGTTTGGTCCGTGTAGTTAATCTTTGATCTGTATCAGATCTTTTGAAATTTGCTTGAAGCCTTTCAGCATAGTTTAAGTCGATAATATCACATGCTTGGTCCATGTCTTTCTTTCCTTTTTGGGTTTTGTACTTTTGTTTCGACCTTGTGAGGAGTAATTGAGCAGAATTACCTATACTTTTAATGAAACCTGAACCGTGTTGAACTGAGTGGAGGCAATCTAAGGTTGCCACTCCTTTCAAAAGGCATATAATTCATACGGAATTGATACTGGTCCTTTCAATCTTCTTAAGGTCAGGATTCAGTCAATCTTAACTAATAATTACATTAAATTACACCAATTTTTCTCTCCCAGTTGCATTAGATTATAGCAATCTGTTCATTTTGCATGAAAGTAATGATCTGCTGTTGGTCTTACCTGCAGAAATATAAGGGGAGAAAGATTACGATTACTGGTTTGCCTGGGACTCACTGTCATCATTCAATTTTCCAAGTCCAGTTTGTGCTTTGCATACTTAGTTACTACCAATTTGCACATGCATTGTGTGTGCAAGACATTTTACCTGTAAAGATTATATAAAAATCAAAATTGATTTTATTGGTTATTGCGTGTTGTGGAGGTTTTTTTTCTTCTTTTTCTGTGAAACATTTATTGGGAGTCTTTTAACTGGCTGGACCAATGAAAAGGTAGTATGGGAGTTGAAAGTGATACAAAGAGACATGGAAAACCACAAAGAATGTTTTGTTGAGCTTGTGAGAAAAGACATGTTGCTGTGACCTTATGGTAATCATTTTGTGTGTGTGAGATGGATAGAAGGAATTTTTAACAAACTAAGTTGTCAGGATGAAGGATTGTTTTGGTCAAACTTAGCAATTATTTGTTTTTGAAGTCATCATGATGCTACAAGATAACCTGGTGATGTGCATTCTTGAACTGCTAACCCATAAATTAGTCCCGCTTATGAGGAGTTGGTCAGTAAGTATGGGTTTGTGTCTCTTTCTGTTGCCCTGATTTGCACAATTATTATTTTTCAGGGATTTCCTAAGCTGTGCTCTTTATCCATTAACTTAAGACATTCCATACTTAGAAATTAGAATAGTATAAGTTGAGTTTATCAACTCAACCATTTGGGCCAAGTTTGAGTGCCCACCAAATTTTTGGGCTGCTTATGGTATTTGTTTTTTTGGGTTAGTAACTTATGGTATTTGTTATCATGAACTTAGATGCCCAAGTCAGAATATACTCCTATCTGGATCATCCTGAAGATGACAACTTACACACCTATTTGTTTTATCATAAGGTGGCAGCAAATGGACAATCAATTGAACTCTGCATTGGCATTCTGTTTTAAATAATGTGATTCGGTAGAAAATTGCTTTGGCATCTGAATGGATTTTGGTGGTGGATTGGATAAACAAAGTAAAGAAAGAACAAAGGGTTGAGGTGTCTTGCATTGTTGGAACAAGTAGATTTGCACTTCTTTATATAGGATTTTGTGGAATCAAACACCAGAGGGTGTTTGGCGTCTCATCAAACTAAAGAAGCAAAGGCTAAATATTTTTCTTGCATCTCCTGTTTGTTCAAAAGAAAAGTAACAGCTCTTTACATAGAAGAACTGAGTAGGTTACTTAATGGTTAATTAAGAGGTAAGTTACCCATTAAGTGGCAAGTAGCTCAGTAGTGGTAGACAAATAGCTCACGACTAGCAACTTAATGAGGAGATTACCTTAGAGCTAAGTAATTGAATTACCAAAATGCCCGAAGCGTATAAATATAACTTTTTATAAACTCTTCAAATCCATTAAGCTTCATGGTTGAACCAGTTTTTAAAGTGGACTAAATCTTCAAATTTTTCTTTTTCTTCTTCTTTGGCCCTCATGGTCTGCATCATACTATTAATAAACAATTTAATCAAAAGGAAGATGCTTCAGAAAATGAGGTCTACTACTGTTTTTATGGCCGTGAATTGTCTGATCTTGTTAACTTCAGAAAACACATAAGCTAGGCTGTGTGGTTTTGTTTCCTTTATCATACTTTTGTACTTCTATGGTCATGGTTCCTTTGTTAGATGCATTGATGGTGATGATCTCATGACATGAAATTCCATCTCCATTGTTATCTTGATCCATTGTTTGCTTAGCTGGTGCTGTTTGGTTGTCAGTTAATGGGAATAGGGAGTCATAATCCTTGCTTTTACCCCACACAACAAAATATAGGCCTGCAACTATAACAATTGCGCCAAGTACCCTGTAAAATTGTGCCATTAGCTATCTTATTTTTCTGTTTAGGGGTCTACATGTAAATTAGGTAAAGTGTTTGAGAGTTACCTTCCTAGGTACATTTGTTCAGCCAAAATAAATGAGCTCATGATAGCTGCGATGACCATGCTCAGTGGGCTGAAAGCTGTCACAAAAACAGGTCCTCTGTCTTTCATTATTACTCCTTGAATGTAATAAGTGAGTCCCGAGCAAACTATGCCCTGCATATATACATTTTAAAACAAAGAGCTGTAGAATATTACCATTTTTGGCAAAAGCTGGTCCTCCCATGTCATGAGAACAAATCCTCTATTTTACATCCTTGTGTATAGTAGTTTCAGAATTTTTTTCTACAAAGGTATAATTCATGTTGTAGTTTTGTGAAGAAACATCAATTCATATTGAAGTGAACAGAAGCTTTGATGGGACTGCTATGAATTAGGGGCCTCTAGAAGGGAGTTGGGTTGATTTAGAGAATATGGCTACAATGAAGTTGGGATTTAGGGAAAAACAGTCATTAATGTACTGCATATATTTGATTTTCTTATCCCTGGTTAACATTAAGAAAGAAAATTTTGTTTTCCCATTTAGTCTCCTTACACTGTAAAGAGCTGTCAGGAGTTCGGTGCCCCAGCTTATAGACCAGACGCTAGCATTTCCCCTCTCCATTAGAAGTGCCACTGTGGCCCCCTGAGCTGTTCCTAATAGGCATATCCAAGCAGTGAGGGAGAGCTCAGCGGGATATGTCTTCAGCGTGATTGCCTAGAGAAACAGAAACAAATATAATTATGATCTCAGATGAAAATTAATTGTCCATATCTAGCAGTTCATATAGCGACCAACTTACTTGTAGATTCATGAAACATGACCAGCTGAAGCATCCAACTGTAATCATTAGGGCTCCCTTAATTGAATGTCGAAGATTTTCCCACCCTTTTGAAGTTCATTAATGCTGCTTCCTTTTTTCCTATACAGCTCAATAATTGGGCCTTTTACTAGTGTCATGATCATGGCTCCTCCAACAGTGGTTATTGTCCCAACTATCTTAGCTTGGCTGCGAATACTATTGATCTTTATCCTCTCCATCCTAGGACAGAAAATTTTAACAATTCCCCAGACATACAAACACCATGTCAGACATGTTTCAAGAAAACCTGTTTGTATTTATGTAGATCATGGTTTTATGTATTGGCCGTTACATATGGAGCGATGACAATAGTGGCAATGGCATGGCGGTAAACAACAAATACGTAATTGCGTATCCCCTCATTCAATGCAACCTTAGAAAGCATATCCATCCCTGCAAACCCAAATTGCAAGAAAATGACAGCAAAGAAAGGTTTCAACCTGTCGTACATTTTACCTAAAGGCTGATAGGATATTTGGTTTGTCATTGCTCACTGCCTCTTTGGAGTATTCAAAATGCTCTTGACATGTTTTCAAATTTATAGGTGTATTGTGTTACTTTTTCTTTAAAAAAATTCTGCTTTTATATTATTATCATCCTTTAAAAAATAGGGATTCCACTAATGTATTTAAAGTCAATTATTGCTTAAAAGCCCCTGTCACCAAACATGGAGAGGATATGTCTTTGGTCACACAAACCTATGTATCTATTCACCGTATCTTTGTTTATGTGCAAACTTCTAGACCCTAATAAAGAAATTCCTTCATAAACTATTTATTTCATTAACTTCCAGTGGAATTGTTGTTGTATATTCATGAGATTGATTTGATTCCATAATTAGAGATTTGCAAGTATTAAGTACTTATTGGACCTTGTTATTTATTTATTTATTTATTCCATCTAAGAAAGAAGAACATATATATATATAATAACATGTTTTTGATTTATTTTTTTTTTCTTTTGTTTACCCTAAACATGAAAAAGTGTTGCACTAGATGATGATGAATGCAGCAGAAATAATATGTTGACAGAATGTCCTTTACAAGATGTTTGATTCCAATATATTATTTAGGGTTAAATATGTTGTCAATTCCCAAAGTATGCATTTTGTTTCATTTTCGATATTTGAATATGTCAATTTGATTTTCAAATTTTTATTTTTATTTATTTTTAGCTGTGAGACATTTTTCGATGAATTTCTAAATCAACACCTTGAAACTAATTGTGGTTGAACATTGTGCCAAATCAAACCCTTTTTGTGCTTTACTAGGACTTGTGAAAACTGATGGAATGTAATTCGGACCCGTAGATAGGGAGTTAGAGACGAATACGCCCTAAACTTAGTCGAAAAAGGGCGTTCCAGGGGTGAAAATTTGAAACAGCCCTCGACCCACCATGTGACTCTCACGAACAGCTTCCCCATGATAAATAGGACTTGTGACAACTGACGGAATGTAATTCGGAGCCATAGGTAGAGACTTAGAGCCGAATACGCCTTAAACTTAATCGAAAAAGGGCGTTTTGGGGGCAAAAATTGCAAACAGCCCCCAAACCATCATGTGACTCTCACGGACAGTTTTCCCATGACAAATAGGATGTGTGACAACTGACAGAATATAATTCGGACCCGTAGGTACAGAGTTAGAGCCGAATACACCCTAAACTTAGTCGAAAAAGACCTTTCCGGGGGGCGAAAATTCAAAACAGCCTCCGAACCACCGTCTGACTCTCACGGACAACTTTCCCATGACAAATAGGACTTGTAACAATTGAAGGAATGTAATTTAGACCCGTAGGGAGAGAGTTAGAGCTGAATACGCCTTAAACTTACTCGAAAAAGAGCCTTCCGAGAGGCGAAAATTCAAAACAGCCCCCGAACCACTGTTTGACTCTCACGGACAGCTTCCCCATGACAAATAGAACTTGTGACAACTGACGGAATATAATTCAGACCCGTAGGTAGATAGTTAGAGCCGAATATGCCCTAAACTTAGTCGAAAAAGGGCATTCCGGGGGCGAAAATTCAAAACAGTCCCCAAACCACCGTGTGGCTCACATGGACAATTTCCCCATGACAAATAGGACTTGTGACAACTGATGGAATGTAATTCAGACCTGTGGGTAGGGAGTTAGAGCCGAATACGCCTTAAACTTACTCGAAAAAGAGCCTTCCAGGGGCGAAAATTCATAACAACCCCCCGAACCACCATGTGACTCTCACGGATAGTTTCCCCATGACAAATAAGACTTATGAAAATTGACAGAATGTAATTCGAACCCCTATATATGGAGTTTGAGCCGAATAGGCGTTAAACTTAGTCGAAAAAGGGCGTTCCGGGAGTGAAAATTCGAAACAGCCCCTGAACCATGGTGTGACTCTCATGGACAGCTTCCCCGTGACAAATAGGACTTGTGACAACTGAAGGAATGTAATTTGGACCCGTAGGCAGAGCGTTAGAGTCGAATACGCCCTAAACTTAGTCGAAAAAGGGTGTTTCAGGGGTGAAAATTCAAAACAGCCCCCGAACCACCGTGTGGCTCATACAGACAGTTTTCCCATGACAAATAGGACTTGTGACAACTGACAAAATGTAATTTTGACCCGTAAGTAGAGAGTTAGAGCCGAATGCGCCCTAAACTTAGTCGAAAAAGAGTTTTCCGGGGGCAAAAATTCATAACAGCCCCCGAACCATCATGTGGCTCACATAGACAATTTCCCCATGACAAATAGAACTTGTAACAACTGACGGAATATAATTCAGACCCCTAGGTAGAGAGTTAGAGTCGAATACATCTTAAACTTACTCGAAAAAGAGCTTTCCGGGGGTGAAAATTGATAACAGCCCCCAAACCACTATGTAGCTCTCACAGACAGTTTCCCCATGACAAATAGG